CTTGCTACGATAATAAACATCCGGAATAAAGTAATTTTAATGAAATTTTCAATACGATCATTCTTCATTGGTATTTATCAATTAATAACAATAATGCTAATTTAATAAAGGCTGGATGGGGTTGTTTTTTTTATAAATGAATACTGCTACAATAACAAAGGCTGGACATGGATGTTTTTTTATAAATTAATAACAATATTTTTAACTTTAAGAGTGTAAGTTCATCTATGGTTTGACCAAGTTTTTCACCTTCAAGAATTACTAAATTAAAAATTTCAATGTAAAATATAGAGTAGTTACATCTCTAGAATTCTTTAGTCTGAAAATAATGAAAATAAGCTGAAATAAAATGTGGTTTAACATCCCACTGTTCTGCTCCGACTGGGCTAATGAAGACAGGCATATGCCATACAGTGTGCTATAAAGAAAATTTTTCCCGGACTGCGGCACTATGCCCTACTCTTATACCGAATTCCAGCTGTCAAGAGATTTTTCACGTGCACACTAATGTGTAAATGCGGCCTTTTTTTTTTTTTCCATCCCAATGACTATACATTGTCCCTTGATAGGTTTATTTTTTTCAAATAGTAAAATTATATAGGTTAATTTAGAGGTGCAAGTATAAATCTAAGACTTAGGCTTAAACACAGACTAGGAAGTAACGTTGCCTGTCTGTGTCTAACATTGTGGGTTTTCTCTGGGTCCTTCAATTTCCTTCCACTGCTAAAGACCCCTATGTGCAAACAAATTACTGAAATAAAATTGTATCACATGCGAGTCCTAAAAGTCGAGTAACTGTTAAACCTCATTTCTTTCTTGCTGTCTATTATCAAAGAGAATTAAAGTAGTAACAAGAAGTATGGTTGCCGTTCTAATTACTAGGGTTTTGTCCGGGTCCACAGGTTTTCCTCTCACTGAGAGTCGTCCCCACCCTCCACCTTCAAAATCAAAGTATTTTAATAAAATTGTAGTCCGCAAATGACTTGTTTTGTGTCAAACCCAACTTCTCTCCCTCCATTATCAAAGAGAATGAATTGTTTAATGTGAGCAACCAAGGTGTATGTGAACTTTATAGATACACACACATTTAATATTTAATACGCAGTTAGATCCATGGATCAGCTTCATATCTTGTATAACAATGGAATCTGAGTCTCAAAAATGTTAAATATTTTACTTCTAATCCTTGTAAAATCTCCAGATAATGTCAGATAAAGTAGAAGGTCAATTGAAAGACACGGATGTGGTAAAAAATAAAGTATCTGTTATAACTTATATAGAATTTATAATTCTAAATTATGAAATTAATCTCCTGGAAAGAGAGTGATAGAGAGAGAGATTTGGTGTAACATACATAATACATGTACTCTTCTGTCAGTCAGTAGAGTTTAAGGTCCACTCGACACAAACTAGGTTATTTCAAGACTAACTTATGGTTCAATTTTATATCAAAATTGTGCTTGTGGGTAGGGGTATTTAACAGCAGGAGGAAACCGGAGGACAAAAAAGAGAAAACCATGAGATTAGGCAGGCGATGCTACTTCTTGTCACTCAATGAACTATGAACTAAAGTGCACATATCAGATCAGAGCATTTGGCCACTCAATTCCCCAGATGGAGAGAAATAACCATATTACTGTCTCAAAATAAACTACAGTACTGACAAGACTAAGTATATGATACGGTATATTCATAGGCGGCCGCCACCCCCCACCCCCATTTTGGGTACCAAATGCTGGGAAAATTTGGCCAAACAATTGTACTTTGTAAAAGTTGTATAAAAAAAATATTGTGTTCTTGAATGTGTCCAATTTAACAGCGAATTTATTATTATTATGTAACATACTAAGAACCTAACTACATTTTTTGGGCACCAATCACCACCGCTCCCCCAGTCAAAAATTTCCCCGTACGCCTATGGGTATATTTACAGGGATATATGCACGGTAGGTATATATATGTTTACATGCATGATATATTTACGTGGTTACAAGTATATCAGATTAATGAATACAACAGATGACCATGTACCATTATATCTTTATCTTTACATCAGTGGGTGGTCAAAACCATGTACTAGTAATATCAGTTTGAAAGATGCAGGCCTGATGGATATAGTTTCAGTAAGATTCCAGATGATGATGATGATCAATGTGAAGTAATTATTGAGAAAGTTTATTAGTATATTGTTATAAATATTTGATATAGTTTGTATATTATACTGTATCTAATATCAACATATCATTCAACAGTTATTTTGTTCCTATGAATAAATCCCAGCTGGTGAAGTATACTGACTGATACTACATCAATCTGATCCTATTTCGTTTTGTTTTTTATAGTTCAAAATTTCGTTTTACTTATGTTTACTACACTAGGATCTGGAAGAGTTATTAAAATCCGCGTTCTGGTTAATGTGAGGGATTAAATTAGCCAAAGAAATGGTCTGTTGCGGCAAGTTCTTGACATGCTGTCCCCGGAACTTTTTGTATCCCAGTAGAAACATCAACCTTGATTGGTTGATCAAAAGTCGGACATCATAGGGTCAGCAGCTGCTCGTATGACCCCTGACGCAACCTCCTACTACAACTGGTCAGATCTTCATGCATCAGAGGCCATTGAAAGTATAAAAAACAAAATGAAATATAGATCTGTATTTTAATCAGAATGATAATACAGAAAACAGGAGAAAAAACCAGTTTAAACCAAATTTGGACACCAGTTTTCCTCTCCCGAATAATTTTGTTCTAAAATTAATATTGAACCACTATTATTCAATTTTGACGATATTGTTTCATTTTTCATTGATTTTAAAGACCGAAAGAGAAGCTTACGTTCAATCTTTTGAGGTTTGTAAACTATTCCTGTTAGACACCTACATGTACCATGGTCGAAAATGTTTCAATCAGGTATTCTTCATCTAGAAATATTGGTAGATTATACTTCAGGAGGAGGAGATCAATACTAAAGATATTTCTAAGCAAAAGTAGAAGTGAAGATTTCTCTTTACACTCGGCACATAAATGAAAGAAGTAAACTAAAGGAAAGGGGGTTTAATGTCCTCATTTTCTGCATCAACCTGGCCCCGGTTTCACGAAGAATTCTCGGTTTTAAGTTAAGAAGTTACTCAAAATTGTTTGCCTTATTTTAACTTAAATATAGCCCTTTATAAAACTTCTGTTGTTTTAATATATCAAATACATCAATAAGAAACTATGTGCAAATATTTGTGTTTCTGGATCAATATAGCCCCTTATAAAACTTTTTTTGTTTTAATGTATCAAATACATCAATAAGAAACTATGTGCAAAGTTGTGTGCTTCTGGATCAAAGATATTTCTCATAAACAGTGATTGAAGGTTGAGTAAATTCTTAAGTCTGAAAATTCTTTATGAAACCAGGGCCATATGAGCCATGCAGTGTGCTATTTTTCACATTTATTTCCCGTACCGACTTCAACTTTACGTTAGTAATATTCCTCAATAATTACCTGTCTTTATTTGTACAATAGAAAACAAAATCGAAACGTTTGTGATAAAAATAGTTCGTCATTTTCTTTTTAAAAAAATGGTATTTTAAAATTACGTTGGTAGTTTGATAAAAAGGCAAAGCACACACCAGTCTTATTAATAATGTACCTAAGGACTGTACACAGTCTTCTCTAACCACTGATTCAACAACTGAATCATATCAAAACACCAAACACTTGAAAGTTTACAAAGTTCAATGTAGTAATCAAAAACAAAGTTTGTTTTAAACGTTAAAAAAACTCTTATTACTTTTCTAAGTTTTAAACAAATTACTAGTAGTCATCAAGTACAAGACAATTACTTTTATAAGTTTTATACAAATTACTATACTTGTCTTAAAGTACAACACGCCTGCTGAAAAGATTATCACAAATTAATAAAATCAACAAAAAAAGTCATTCTCGTTGAAAAGATATTGAACATATGCGAAAACTATAAACTGAAACAACCAACAACAGACATAGGATATCAGACACAGATATATACCCATGTAGGAGATTGGTTTGGTTTTTTCTGTTGTTTAGGAACAGTTTGTTGATGTGTGTTTTGGTCATTATCATCATTTGATTCCAGATTATTTTTCACCAACACCACAATAAAGTTGTATTTCTATTTTTGTGTGGGGGTGGACAAACAGACAGATCACTGATTGTATGCCTGGCAAATTTAATAAATAATGAAGGAAAACTGCACAATGAAACATAAACAGAATAGACAATACAAAAAATAAAGGAGACCTCCGCCAGAACACTATAAGAATTTTATAATATTTTTAATAAACAATGAAGGACAACTGCACAACAAAACACAGACAGTACAGACAATACAGTGCATGCAACAAAACATAGATGAAACTTAGAAGTTATCCTGAAAAGTCTTAAATGCTTAATAATTGTACACAAAAAAAATCAAACGCTGTCAGATCACTAATAAAATCAATGGTTAATTTCATAACATTTAATAAAAAATGGAGGAGGCCTGTACAACAAACAAACAAACAAACAAACTGAACAAACAATAGTATTGTATGCAACAAAACAACACAGAAAGAAGTTGTCCTGGGCAAACAAACAAAAATTAAACTCTGCCAGATCACTAATTATATGTCTGACTAATTTCATAATGAAGGACAACTGCACAACAAAAAAACAAACAGAACAGACAATAGAGTATATAACAAACCACATAAAAACAAGTATGGACGTACAGTAGACCAGGAAGGAGCATTACACCATCGCTGCCATTTTGGAATTGTTACATATCAAACAATAAATATCCACTAATCAATGTGCAATTGTCCAAAGAATAAAGAGCATGCCAAGTTTCAGGTCAATCATACATGAATAGGTGGAGCCTCAGGCTTTATTCAAAGAGCATCACTCTCAAGAAGATGAGTATAGTTTTGAGACCAGTTCCTGATCAAAAAACATAAAATAACCATTTCACACAAGATTATAGCTAAAACCTTACCTCGACTGTTGGGACAATTATCTTTATTCCAGTTATCTGCCCTTGTTTTACCGTCATCACAGCAGCCATACAAAGTCACGGAACAATCAACGTCAACTTCTTCTACATCCTGGCAATAAAATAAAAAGACACATCAATTGTTGAATTAAATATGCGACTCTACAGTGTTGATTTTAAAATGACCATAAACAGATGATATAAAAGTAGAGCAAAAGAAATATTGCACAAAATGTTTCCTTTGTTCCACTTTTAAATCATGTTCATTAGCCCGGTTGGTGCAGAAAAGTAGGCAGTTAATTTCTATTCAATATCTATTGATATATATTACAATAATTTGCTTATTTGGGTTTTTAGCAGTATGAGGTAAACCCAGGGCTCAGGAAAATTGTTAGATAGATAACATACTAATTTTACCAATTAATGTTAAGATAGTTTTCTTTTTAAATCAACCCGATTTCTCAGATGAAAAGCTCACTAGCCTAAATGACAACCCTGTTAAAACGATGTTACACATGAATTATTCAAGAGCTAAATGGTATCTAAATTATTAATTGGACATTAATTAACTTATCCAGACCATAATCCACTCTAGAATTCATTGTTAGCCTACGATATAGTAGATTTGAATATGTTTTGTGATGGATAATTTAATGTAAAAATGGATAACTGAGACTTTGTTATCATACCAACATCAGTAATGACGACCGAGACTAGCCTAAAATTCAATGGCCAATACCTCGGTTCAGAGTGAAGCAATTTGATTGAAATTTTCAGAATATCTTGTTTTCAATATCTATTATAGCGAGAACTGTCAGCTCTTTATATAATCTTACCTAAAGCCCCTTTAAATGAAAAAAAAGACATCGCATTTAAACATCACTCAGGAGTAACTCAAATGATATGTTTTTAAAATCTTGCATGTTTGGAAACGTTGATTTATTTCTCAACGACATATCCCTTTAATTTTTCTTGTCTTGTTTGTGAAAGTTGATTATTTCCTGATGGTATACCTATAATATTTCTCATACATTGACCTTGATATAATTCCCAATGGCATGCCCCTTTAAGTATCTCATCTTGACTGATCAAGATACTGGTGTACATATGTCTAATTAAGTCTGGTTGTTTATTGTTACAAGACTATCTATAGTTATGATTGACCAGTGACCTATAGCCTACGTTTGTTTAACATTTCCACACGTCAGGTGAACGCAAGCCTCGTTACATTTATCTCTAACAACAGGTGGAGCTCTAGTCAGAATAAAATAGATTATACTTTATATTTAATGATAGCAAAATGATGAGGATACACCTGGACCTAGTTTACTATAAATACAATTTTATCAATATTAACTTTAAGGGGCTACCTAAATATGAAACACTCATAATTTGGTCTCTGAGCTGATGAGGGATTTTGAATTTCTTGCAAATTACAATATTGTAAATGTCCAAATATGGTTCAGTTTTGCTTAGCATTTACTTTTAAGATGCAGGGTGGGATTAAAACCCACAGAGGCCCTAGGCACTTTAATGAATGTAGTGCCCCATATATACCACAAAACAAATTTGCATTTGTCAAAATGAGGTTTATATACATCATTATTGATTGCGACAAAGCAGGTAACAGTAAAAAAAGACAAAAAACAATGAAAATCTAGTTAAAAGTTCTTAATTATTCTTGGAATTAAATATTTTAAATTTGTCATCCAACAAAGCAGAAATTCTGTGGTGCCCCCCTGTCCCATGATTTCCAAAGTATGCACTTAATTTGCTTAATGCTTAATCCAACTCTGCAAAGATGTGATGAACTGATAATTTCCCAATAATAAGCACTCACACCAAACTATATGAACACACACCGGTAGAAGTGTTAGTTAAAATCGTTGTAATCCGAATTAATCCAACTGAGAGATTATTTACCGTTGATACTTTTTGATTTTGTTTTCTCAATTAATTATGGTAACAACGGTAGCAATGAAAATCAAGAATATGCTATTTTATAAACACTCACAATAAGGAAATTTGACTGAATCTTCAATTTATTCCTTTTCTATTTTCTTTTTTAAAATTATTATAAAGTTGTTTTAAAATTTATAAGTTGAACAGTTTGGCTTCCTAGAAACCCACAAAATAATTTCTCTTTTATATATACTATTCAAAAAAAGTAGGGGATATTTGATTTTGGGGGCATAATACTAAAATATGCAAATGACTACGAAAAAAGTCACTATAGAACCTAACAGAAGAAACATTTCCAGTTACATGTGACGCCCAAACGCACCAATAGCTACCGCATGGAATGCAGGTGATGCTTGGGATCATCATGGGGGTCCAACCCAAGATTTGCACGACTCTGACTTTGAATGTTACAGTCATTGTGGCATTGAATTCCAGGGTGGAAACATCAGTTTAATTGTTTTAGTAACCAGAAAACAAATTTTGATATGCGTCGGCTTACCCAAAATGAAAGGTTACGTGCCCTTGGCATGCTACAGATCGGCACAACACAGGCGGTTGTGGCGCGGACGATGAATGTTTCTCAGTCTGTCATAAGCAGGCTATGGTCCAGATACCGTGATACACAATCTGTACAGGACAGACCACGCTCTGGTCGACCTAGGGCGACAACTCAAGCCCAGGATCAATTTATCCGTACCTTGGCCTTGAGAAATCATGTCATCACAGCAAATCAGATCAGCGCTCGTCTTCAAACAGACACTGGTGTGAGAGTGAGTGGCCAGACGATTCGGAATCGACTGCATAGGGGTCACCTCCGCGCCCGACGTCCTCGCGTGATCCCTTGTTTGAGAGATCATCACATTCAGGCAAGACGTCGTTGGTGTAGGGATCGTCAACACTGGGATAATCGACGCTGGAGCAATGTGATGTTTTCAGATGAGTCAAGGTACACTGTTGATTTTTTGGACAGACGTAGGGGGGTGTGGCGTCGTCGAAACGAGCGCTTCCAAGACGTTAACGTCATCAGACATGATTGATTTGGGGGTGGTTCTGTTATGGTGTGGGGAGGCATCACTGTTGCTGGAAGAACGGCTTTACATGTTGTTGCAGGGCGTGTTACAGGCCAGTACTACCGGGACAACATCTTGGCAGTCCATGTTGTGCCGTTCGCACGACGTCATGGCCGCCGTTTCATCTTCCAGGATGACAACGCAAGATGTCACAGGGCCAGGATCGTTACAGGTTACCTCCAACAACAGAACATCACCACATTACTTTGGCCAGCACTGAGTCCCGACCTCTCCCCCATCGAGCATGTCTGGGACATGCTTGGACAGAGGTTACGTCAACGTCAACAACGTCCTGCCAATGTCCAAGAACTTGCTGCTGCGTTGCAACAGGAATGGGACAATCTGGACCAAAATGACCTTAGACGTCTCATTAGGAGTATGCCACGTCGGATCAATGCTTGTTTGGCAAACAGAGGAGGATTTACCCGTTACTGACTTGGTTGTGATGCTGTGGTAACTTTGCTGTTTGACCCCGGGTATCATTTTACCCTTATAATGGTCAGTCTGTGCCTTACTTAGTCTAACGATCATTTGGAATAAATCGATGAATGTGAACTTCATTTCATTTTGTCATTTGTTTCTTCGTCAGTTTCATTAGGTGACTTTAATAACACTTAAAAATCAAATATCCCCTACTTTTTTTGAATAGTATATATTGAAGATAATAACTGACTGTCACAAGTGGTATTTTTATTGTATTTTTTATTTTGTCTGTGTGAGGTCTATTCTGAGACTTACTAAAATGGTCGTAAACAAATTTTATAACATAAAATATGCACGAAGAGCCATAAAACGATAATATAAAATATGTACCAAGAGTCATAATACAATAATATAAAATATGCACCAAGAGTCATAATATTATATCAAAATATGTACCAGGTTTAGGTTCCTGACAGTCTCTATTTTTTTCCAAAGCATCGACAGACATATTTAGCATACTAACATACTAACATCAAACATTGAAATACAAACATTGAAATAAATTATTACTGAAATTCTTAACACTATAGATTGAAATATTAGTCTTGAAGATTCTTGTTTAAATTTGACCCCTGCTGTTCAAAAAGTATTCAGTGAAATTGACAGAAGTGCAACATTTGCCTGAATTTCTGTAACTGATTGCTGAACTTTATTCATTCAAAAGCAGAATTAACATTACTATGCTTCTCTAAGACATACAAAGATGGCAGTATTAAATCAACAAAAACCAATGCACACTTGGGAGAGAGAAATGGGGTTTAATGTCCACTTGACACAAACTTGGTCATTTTGGGACTAACATATGGTTTTAATTTTTATTTCAATAATTCGCTAGTGTGTAGGGGTCTTTAGCAGTGGGAGGAAACCGGAGGACACGGAGAAAACCCACGAGGTTGGACAGGTGACCCTACTCCTTCGAAACCACGCCAGTTAACTCAATGACAGACTTTATGATACAGCGTGCCCATGCTAACCATTCAGCCATCTAACCCCCCCACCAAATGCACACTTGAATAAAAAATGTCCCACTAAAGTCACTAAGCTCCACTAAAAGATGTCCCACTAATTTCTGCGAAAATATATCCCACTAAGGGCACTAAATTCTACTAAAAGATGTCCCACTAAGTCACTAAGCTCTGTTAAAAGATATCGCACATGGTCACTAAGCTCAACTAAAAGATGTCCCACTAAAGTTATTAAGCTCTAAAAGATGTTCCACTAAGCTCTACTAAAAGAAGGGCCACTGAAGTCACGAAGCTCTAATGAAAGGTGTCTGACTAAAGTCACTAAGTTCTATTAAATTATGCGCCACTAAAGTCAATATTTTCTATTAAATTAGATTTACTAATAGATGTGCCACTAAAGTTACTAAGCGCTAATGTCCCAATAAGGTCACTAAGTTCTACTAAAATATGTCCAACAAAGGTCACTAAGTATTAAGAGAAGATGTCCCACGGTCAATAAGCTCTACTAATACTAAAAGATGTAACAATATCACCAATTTCCACTGAAAAATGTTCTACCAATGTTACTAAGTTCTACTAAAAAAAGTCCTACTGAAGTCACTAAGCTCTACTAAAAGATGTCCCACTACGGTCGCTAAGCCTTACTAAAAGATGCCCCACTATGTTCAACTTAAAGATATCCCACTAAGCTCTACTAATGATGTCCTGCTAAGGTCTACTTTAATTCAAGTCTCAGAACGTCACTAAGTTCAACCAAAAGATGTCCCACTAAGTTCAACCAAATGATCTACTAAAATATATCCCACTAAAGCCACTGAGTTCTTCTAAAAGAGGCCTCACTAGAGCACTAAAGTTTACTATAAGTTATCCCACTAAGGTCACTAAGTCCTACTAAAAGATGTCACACTAAAGTCACTAAGCTTTACCAAACGATGCCCCACTAATCTCTTCTAAAAGATGTCCCGCTAAGGTTAATAATTTCCAGTGAAAGATTTTCCACTAAAAGATGCCCTACTAAAGTCACTAAGCTCTACTAAAAGATGTCCCACTAAGCTCTACTAAAAGATGTCCCACTAAGCTCTACTAAAGTATGTCCCACTAAGCTAAATATGTCCTTCTGCTAAAAGATGTCCCACAAAGCTCTGCTGAAAGATGTCCCACTAAGCTCTGCTAAAATATGTCCCACAAAGCTCTGCTAAAAGTTTCTCACTAAAAGATGTCCCACTAAGTTCAAGTAAAAATGTCCCACTAAGCTCTACTAAAGATGTCCCACTAAGTTCTACTAAAATATGCCCCACTAAGTTTAAGTAAAAGATGTCTCACTAAGTTCTACTAAAATATGCCCCAGTAAGTTCTACTACAATATGTCCCACTTATTTTAACTAAAAGATGTCCCTCTAAGTTCAACCAAAAGTTGTTCCAGAAAGTCACTAAGCTCTACTAAAATATGTCCCACTAAAGTCGCTAAGTTCTACTAAAAGATGTCCCACTAAGGTCACAAAGTCCTACAAAAAGATGCCCCCTCAAAGTCACAAAGTTTTTCTGAAAGATGTCCAACAAGGTAACATGGTCACTGATTTTTCTGTATCTTACCTTAAATTCTAGATATTCTCCATTACTGCCATCACTACACGGGGACAATGTACACAATTGTTGACGCTGTGGACGTTTTTCATGAGCACACATTTCTTCGGATCGCATGCGTGGTACTTCATCATCATCACTGGGCTCTTCCTGACACGAAATGTATCGTGTCTGTACACCATAACCACATGTCACACTACACTGAAATATCAAAAACAAACCAGTAATAAATTGATTGAAAACTTCCAACGGCTGATCCCAATTTGTGTAATTTTGAATCATTCCAAGCTATGCTATTGTGGAAGTTAGATTTCTAAAAGGAATATCAGTTCAAAAATGCTTCAAATCCATTTAGTATTTACTAAGATATGACGAATTAAAAATTTTGAAAGATTTGGCCAGGACACCAGAGTTAGTGGTTCTTTAACGAGTAGTTTAATTTGTATATAGGACCTTGTTTTTTCGTACACTTCCAATGACTATCAAATAGCTTTTTATTTGTCATTTAAGGAAGTTTTATCTGTGGGTTAAATGATATCCATAGTGCCAGGGGGATGGGGAATGGGGATGTCCTAGATTATGACTACACTGCAATCGACTGACATGGAATTCATTCCTGTCACAGTTTTAATAACAGAGGAGATTGGAGCAGAATTGCCAAAATATCATACAGGGAAGATCCAATCAGTTGTTGTTTATCTATATGTGTATCACTGCAGGCAAGGGGGTACAGCACAATATTATTACAAGATTTATCTCCCTTTACACTACTTGACTGATATATTTTTACAAAATTCGTTTGAGGGAGTTTTCATAATTAAATGATAAATAATCAATGTGAGTACATTTTAGCGTGGATATTATTGGTTAGACAAGCACTATGTTAGTCTCAAAATAGCTAAGTTAAGGCAAGTGGATATTAAAACCAATTTCTCTCGCTGCCTTTCAAGTTTTAAACCGGAAACTGATTGCTGACACTTGATAACCTTCAGGGATGGTCTTAGAAAGAGCCCCGGAGTATGGTTGGTTTGCTGGCCCCTAAAGAAATTAATGTTCTCATGTAGTTTTGAAATTTTGTCGTTTGACAAGATTGCCACATGCTAAATTTGTACATCATCGAGAAACATCAAGATATACTCTAGAGAGCACAATCTACAGTCAAAAATCTCGAGAATTGGGGCAATTCAAAGAGCCAGACTCCGGGAACTGGTAATCTTCTTGTTCTTACAATTTTTGTTCTTGGATCGAAACTTTTGAAAGAAAGTCTAGTTCAGTGCCATCGACATAAAAATTGGCAGGCTTTTTCTTTGGACAACTGCGCAATGATTGACAAATTTTGATTTTTAAAATGATTTCACAATTCCATGATGGCTGCAATTGAGTACTTCAACTGACAATTCTGTTACAGTGAATAAGTGAATAAATTACCTCTTGCCATGGACCCATAGCCCAATGTGGACAGCTGATATCACCCTGACAGACCCTCTTTAACACAGGCTTCGGTCCGACGTAACGTATACATAGTTGATCATCTGTGTAAATAGCTTTACCCATAGTTCCCTTCTCCTGACAGTACGCCAATTGGGTCTGTTCTCCTATACCACAGTCAGATGAACATTCTCCCCAATGACCTAAAACCCAACTGAAATGATAAAATACACAAATAAATAAATAAATAATTCATTTACAATCAATGAAGAAGATGCTATCAGGTGTTATGTGTGATGCCTTTAGTGTAATTGAACAATTAGGTTATAATCTCAGAGTATTTTAGTTATAATATCAAAATAATTTATAATATCAATATAATCACAGAGCAAAATAATAATCTTAATGCAACAGAACAATCTAGTTATAATCTCAGAGTAATAAGTTATAATAACAGAATAGCAGAACAACAGAACAATATAGTTATAATCTCAGAGCAACAGGTTATTTCAGCTATAATCTCAGAGCAATTTAGATATAATATCAGGATAATTAGTTATAATCTCAGGGCAAATAAACAGTATAGTTATATTCTCAAAGCAATATAACAATTTGCATGGGGTCACAAAAACATCCCTTGACATACCTATATCCGATCCGGTCTTCTGGGCAATCTTGTTGTGTACAGACACGACGACCATCTGGTTTTAATCTGATGTCACAAAGATCGTTACTAATGGCAACACCAGACTGACGGTCAATACAGGATACAGCACGAATCTGAAGACCTGAAATAAAAAACAAAAAAATTGATTTGTTAAATTGAAAAAATAATAGACATCCTAGGCAGTCTGTCTGAAAACTATTATCATTCAGTCACTCAACCTACCCTTGACAAGACAGGAAAATTGTGCAACAAAACACAGAAAGAACAAAAGGTAAAACTAGATAGTTCATGCTGCTGAATCTCCAGCATAAAGAAACAAAACGAAATGAAAAGAAACGTAGTTAATCATCCTACTGTTTTGCTTTTGTCCGGACAGCGGCATTGTGGCCTACTGTTAAATCGAATTCTAACTGCCAAGGGATCATTTATGTGCACGCCAATGCACGCTGGAAAATCCCAATGAACTTTCTCGGTCAACACTGGGATCGAACCCGCGACCTCCAGGCTAGCGAGCCAGCATTTTACTCACTTAGCTAAAGTGGCTCCAGGCATAAAGAACCATATTTCCAAATGCACCGCAAAATGTAAGAGTGTTTATTAATACAGCTGAACTGTCAACCGTTTTGAGAAGTAAACTCAGAATACACCACAAATAGTAAGGGTGTTCATTGATGAGCTTGAACCACTAGAGTTACGAAGAGTAAACTGAAAACACATCACCAACTATAAGGGTGTTTATTCCTGCATGATGAAGGTTATCAAATACACATTTAGCAAAAAGATCACAGGAAAATACTTTTTATTTGCCACCATAGCTATCCTAAGGTTAATGAACAAATCAAAATTATAATCAACATACCTTTGCCGCACGATTTTGAACATCTTGTCCAGACTCCATTAATCCAGATATATCGTAATCTTGGATTCTCGGCTTCGTGGACCAATGATTTCTGGAGGGAATATTCATACTGGATACCAGGATTACTATCTCGTAACATCAGCTGGAGGAAACAAAAAGCAGATGTCAAATATAATTCTCTTTACTTTACTGATAATTCACAAATGAAAAATCACAAAACTACTTCTACTCTGTCGGTTCATAAAAGTAGGATGTTCAACCTCATTTCATTTCATTTGCTCTGTAATGATGACCATACACAAATTTAGTCAAAGCATGGTGAGCTAGGACCACTGGGTCGATAATGAGCCACCAGGCTGAATAAAAATACTGTTGAAAAACAATTAATGAATAACGGGTCATTCTAATAGGTAAATGATAGTCTGGTTGGTTATAAGACCCAGTCCCAAACTGCTCTGAGATTTGAATCTCATTACTCTGATCTTTTAAATAAATGATAAATTGAAACAGGGTTTCGAATGTCCTACTTTTCTACAAACCAGGCAAACCCATGCTGTGTATTATGTGTGGTTTTATGGTCGAGAGCGAGACATTAAGCAGGGGTAGAAACTAACCTGAAATGGTCACTAGCCATTTGGGCTAATAGCTTTCAGATCTTACTAGCCCAGCCAACATTCTACTAGCCCAGTAAGAAACTGACACCAGACGTAAAAATTCTGATTTAGACTGTTGTTTTGTTCATCATTAATCAATCAAAAACACCAAAATACATGCACTTAAATTTATTTTGGCACATTTAATAATACAACAAATAGACTTTGTTCATTGTTGCCTCTTTAAATAATGAATTCATTAATCAGTCATGAAGACATATGTTAAAATTCAATTTGGCACATTTCATATTTCATATTTGTCCTTTGGAAGTTTAATCTTCAATACAATAGATTTTTTCAGGGGCCTCATTTTGTATTTATATTTCATTTATGTTTTATAAATTCAGTTGTGACGTGCAAAATAATATGATGTAATGTCCTTAAAATTTAATATCATCAGTTGTCACCGAGTGATGAAGTTATTTATAGCAGAGCACGTGTATTTACGAGCGTCTTCATTGCCGTAATATATCGCTGTTATAAAACCTTTTAACATCCATGTTCTTCATTAACTTGCTTCATGTATATATTTCAACAATTAGGTTAGGCGATTTATGATAATTAACCTGAAATATGACCGAAAAGTTATTCAATTATATCGACTTTCGCTTCATAATTCCTCGAGGTGTAAACAGAGGCTGTTCTGTACCTTCCCTCGTTATCATACAATTTTAACCAATCAGCAAGCTTGCTTACTCAGATTTTATACCGGTAAAGCGAAATGGAACAGCCAAAGATTAAAAACACATAAATAGTGATGGCGACGATTTTTGGAAGTTAGTTTCATGACAGTGTTCATTAAAGTAGCCAAGTCTCTAACTCAATATCATCCAAAATCTTCAACATTGAAAACACAATTTATTTGTCAAATTAAATCAACATTGATATTGTGATCTTACCAGAAAAAGATGGGCTTTTGATATCCAATATGTAAGACAAAATAATAATTTTACCATTGGTACACGAATCGTGTACCATAATGCGCTTCAGCCCCAGTTGTAACAAGAGACTCGAGGGACGAGGCTAGACACATTGTACCAAATCAAACGGCGTATGTAGACTGGAATAACCAGACGCTAGAAATATGCACTCGATTGAGACTGCTGGCTTATTTAGCGAACATAACTGATTTGAAATTGGAGTAAAAACGGGAACCATTGAATGTAAATCAGTTTATATACATTCATATTACAGTATTATATGCGTTACGACCCACTTTTGTCAATTTACAGGTCCAAAATATTAGCGATTTAGCTCCTTTAAGTACAAATTATCAATTATTACAACTATCAAAATATCAGGTCGCCACACGGGCTAATTGATGTTGAATTTCATTCGCCCGTACTGACTTTTACTCGCCATGGGAGACCGGGCGAGCGTTAGTTTCTATCCCTGATTAAGTAATATAGCTTGAGCTCAAGACCATTAAACAACTTAAAATACAGACACTTACACATGCTTTGCAATAAAATAGGTCACGCGAGTCCAAAATTTCAACTAGTATAAATAATGTAGACTATGCACATTGAAATAATGGTACGCCAACATCAAAGGATGACGTAACATTTTTGTACTTTCACGCCATCATGTACACGGTGCCTTGCAAATGAATAGAATTGTTCCTTGCTAGGTCCTTCATCCTGCACCATTGACAAGGGGGAACCCAGTTAGAAAAAACAGGAACTTATTAATTCGATAAGCTATGTATTACCTCAATATGAAGCGTTTCATTGGTTGGTCCGAGAGCTGTTAAAGTTTCTGGTTCATCTGGATTTTGCGGTGATTTTATATAACGTATCGTCGTCCCAGCGATGTCAGTCGCAGAATTATCTTCTGTAATTTTCCTCCAACTATTGATATAGTAATTTCCCACTCCATTCTTCACAACTAAATTACAATAAAACAAATGTAAATAAAGTAAAAGGTTGTTCATAACAACAGTAGGGTTAGGGTTAGGGTTATCGAAAGGGAAGGGTTCCTTACAGAATCCTTCACAGACAGCACAGAATGAGGGACTAACGTTTAAACCCAACCCTAACCCTAACCCTAACCCAACCTTAACCCTTGCGGGAATCGAACCCATGATGGCACCCATTTGCCTCACAGTTGCCAGTCAAAAGCTCTACCAATGAGCTATCACACAACTATAAAAATATTAATTGAGAACTCAGCATGTGTGCTTTCTGACACTACTGATAATATTTAGGTAATTCTATCGAATTTATGTTAAAGTTAGGTTAGGGACAGACAAATCCTAATAAAGATTAGCTTGTGATTAGGGAGAGGGTAGGTTCAAGAATTAGGGGGGATGGCTTCAGATATTCATAAACACCTATTTAGAAGTATAAAAATGTGCTTGATTGGGCACCTTAAAAAAAAACGACGGGTTACTCACCAAGAAAACTATTACTATTAGTAATTTCTCTAACAACAATACTCGTAGAACCAGCTGGTATGGTTACTATTTTATTCAAACCTAATAAAATAAATTGAAATAAATTTTACAAAATAACATCAGGCCTGGAAATAACGGTTTTAGATATACCTGACAAAATGTCAGGCACTAATGAGATAGTATCTGACATTTTCAACTTAGTGCCGGACATGTATTAATAATATCAATTAAAAAGACAAATCAGTGCCGGACAAAATGACAGGCACCAGAGGTTTAGTGCCTGACAAAGTCTGAATCTGTGTCTGACATTGTCTGTGAAGCGTGCCTTATTTCCAGGCTTGAATAACATGAATAAAATTTAAAGCAGATCTGAAGATAACATATGTCACTACAATGATCACAAGATTCCATAAACAGGTTCACTTTTGATCATAAGGTCTGTAATTGAGTCAAGTGACATTGTTTCAATTTTTTGGACATAGAAAAATAGATATTGTTTTCAAAATAAAATTCAAGCAAAGAATATACTAACCTACTTTGAGATTCTGGCTGTCAAAAATGGCAGCAATAGTTTGACACGTCGTTCCGTCACCTCCACAGACCCGACATTTATCTTCTTTCATAAACGAACCAATCACACGATCACATCCTACCGCCTGCAACAAAATACAACAATGTATATATTACAAACAAACAATCACACGATCACATCCTACAACAATGTATAAATTACAAACAACCAATCAGACGATCACATCCTACTGCCTGCAACAAAATACAACAATGTAAATATTACAGGACAATATTACAAATAATCACATGATCATATCTTATGGTCTGGAAAATTGTATTTCAAGTAGGCCTAATCTCACTAAACAGGCAGTACCAGGTTTGATTTCCCAGGGTTGGCAGAGAAAAGTTCCTTAGGATATTTCAGCTTGGTTACCCTTTGTCAGTAAAGCAGGAAAACGACTCTGGCAAGGATCAGTGTCTAGTCTTTTGGATGGCACAAAAATGTAGGATCTCAGTTCAATTAATTATATTTTGCCAACAACTTTTTGGATTGTTTTTACCCAGTTTTAATGTTTGAAGATTAAAGGGAGATAATTTCCAACTCCCCTAACTGGCTTGAAAATATAGACTCCAATATTCTAGAGAGTAAAGGGAGATAGAGAGAGAGAGAGAAATGAGGTTTAACGCCCACTCAACGCAAATGTCATTTTGGGACTAACAGTTGGAGGAAACCAGGTAACCTGGAGTTAACCCGCAAGGTTGTACAGAAGATCCTACTACTTTGTCACGTACAAGCGGGCAGTCGAAACCACGGCACCTGACTCACTCAATAACAGACATTATGATTTAATGCGTATGCTTTGAAATATTCGGACACTCAATCCCCTCGTAAAGGGAGATAACCTGGAGATACTATATTACTCTATCTAACTGATGTGTTAATTCATGAGTTATACAGTAAATCAACGCCCATTTGACTAAAACTAGGTTATTTAGGGATTAATATATTCAATAATTCTTTTACTAGGGGTCTTCAGCAGTGGGAGGTAGCCGGAGGACCCAGGGAAAATTAGCAAGGATGGACCAGTGATCCCACTTCTTGTCACTTGCAAGCTTGGAATTGAAACCACACAACTTGACTCAATGACAGTCCTTATAACCATTTGGAATGCACCTTATCCCCACCCCCCTGCACCTCATCTACATATGAAATGTTTCCATATAAAATGAGAGCATGTAAAATATAATTTACCTGACAAACACCGGCAACACAAATACCAAAACTATCTACATTATCACAGTTTGTTCCATCAACAACACGCTGAGCAAATTCTTTAATAATATTACTATCTTCTAGTGATTGACATTTCAATACACATTTGTCATTCTCATCTAAAAATAAACAAAAATATGAAAAGTTTAAAAGGGTTTTATCGAAGGTATGACAAATTTATTTTTTGTGTGCTTCCAAATTGGCCGACTTTGAGACACAACTAGTCAGTCTCATATGGAGAGAGAGAGAGAGGGAGAGAGAGAAAGAGAGAGAGAGAGAGAGAGAGAGAGAAATGGGGATTAACGCCCACTTAACAAAAAACAGGTCATTTCTTGACTAACATATTGTTCAATGTTATTTCAATAATTTGCTTGCGTGTGTGGGTGTCTTTAGCAGTGGAAGGAAACTGGAGGACCAAGAGAAGACCCACGAGGCGACCCTTCTCCTTGTCACTTACAACCAGGGAATCGAAACCACACCAGCTGACTCAATGAGAGACCTTATGATACAACGTGCACACGCTAATAATTCGGCTATCCACCCCAGCCTCGGATATCGATCAGTGATCGAACATGAGGAGCTATCACAGATTGAATTATTATTTAATCGAAGGAAATATTTATGCACATAAAGGTACGAATAAGTTAATGTTTACCTGTTTAAAGGTAAGAATAAGTCAATGTTTATTAAAGGTAAGAATAAATTAATGTTTATTAAAGGTAAGAATAAGTTAATGTTTATCTGTTTAAAAGTAAAAATAAGGTAAGAATAAGTTAAAGGCTCAATACCACTCTTGTTGTAACTGAATAATATGTCCCAATCTTTATTCTGGTCAACAAATTGTACTATTTTAGAATATTTCAATTAATTGATGATACAAATTTCATCTTAACACACCTTATTTAAAAATTTTGAAAATTCAAAATAATGGTTTGAAACGTCTAACGTGAAACCTTTTCAAATGAAACTTCGATTTAAAAATATTTTTGAACCCTCTGAACAAGTAAAATAGGATGTAATGGATAATTTACACAACAGGTAGGACACTTAAACATCTAGTACTTAGATAGAGATATTATTTATTTTCTGGAGCTTTCAAGCCAGCAAGAGTGTTATTGTCCCTTTAAGATTTACCTGTGTATGGTTTCCAGGTATGTAGTTTATTCAATCCATTGACTTTAACCTTGTTGTACCTAGAACATTGTGCAGCTCTAAAATCATGAGATCCAGCTGAACATTGCTAAAATAAATAATAAAATAAACAACTGAACATGCTAAAACATACAACAAAATGAACAGCTAAACATTGCTAAAATACAAAAACAGCTGAACACTGCTAAAAATTTGATAACCATGAATTATATTGCAGCTGCAAGTATCATCCGTGCTACTAAAGACAGTATTGGCTGAAAAAAGGCATAAACTGGGCACTGGTGCACTGGGTAGTTAGCTGCAATTTTTAACCGAGTGGAACCATTTCTACACTGGTTAGTCAGTTAATTTTTTTAAGAAAAACAAAACAATAAAAAGGCTTAAAACTTGAAGCTATTTTTTGTTACTAACACTACGTATCTGTTAGTTACTATACTTGTAACGTTAAACTGTGTGTTTAACGTTACAATTGATACAGTCTAAGAATCCTTACGCAAGTTCAAATAGGTTCAAACGCACAATTACATCAACACATATCATTACAGTTTGTATTGGAATAAGTAATTCTATGACAATAGTGAAGACTGGACCACTAAACAGTTACCGAACAGTTTTTCTTTGTGGTTATGCGTTCTACATTTGCATAGCAATGTTTCTTGTGATGACGTATTACACACAAGCGGCCATGACACCAGCCTGTTGAAATTTCGCGTAGCAGTTGAGTTTCATCAAATCATATAATTATGCGGTAAGGCTTCACCTTTATTTCAATAGGAATTGATTTATTATATGTTAAGCTAAGTGCAGTACTGTTTTGGGTCAGTTTATGTGTAAATTAGGGGAGGTATATGCCAGTAAACTTTTTGTAGTGATTTCACTAAAAAAACTTGCCCAAAGGAACTCCGTAAGGACGAGCCACTACTGTGGCTGGAGTAAGGCGGAAGACATCAGTAGTGGTACCATTTCTACGTATCTGTCAATTCAATATTTATCGACCAAAGACCTGCAGTGCAGATTAATGTAAACAGCCATCGTCCGATCAGAGACATTTCCTAAAGTCTTAAGAATTTTAAAGAAACCAAGACCAGGATCTGTCTCTGAGTCTGGGAGACCAGTGTGAATGAGACGCTCAAAATTTTCTTAAAATATTTTGAAAGATTTTAAACTGATTAGATCTAAATTTTCAAACTAAATTCAAACAATATTTTATAATCTCACTGATTTCTTAAGTCTATGAATTTCATCTTCAGATTCACTGAACGATAATAATTCGTATTCTCTTCGTCAGTGCTTCCAGAGTTTTTCCAGAAGTTTTTCATTTGATACATCTGCCGCTGAATAGATAACGGGAAATAACTCTATTCAAAGATTCGCTAAACTGGATACAGACCACCAAATGGTCTGCACAGCTCGTCATTTCTACACATAGTCTACGGTGACAAGGGTTTGGGCTTGCCCTAATGATGTAATACAAACATTTCCTTACCTGGGTATTACAAGATGAATATTCAACACCTGGTCCCGCACACAGACCATTCATATGAGATCTAAAAATATATAAATATGTTCTATAACATTTATAAGATACCTTTCTTATAATGAAAAACCGCTCATTATGAGCATAGCTTGTAATTTACGCTATTGAAATTACTGCACAAATAGGCCTAAGTTTAAAGCACTATTTTGTGTAAACAAACAAACAAAACACACCAACAATACAAAAGCAACTGAAATGGTGTTTAATGACATACCAAATTATATTATACAAATACAAACACATCTTCAGAGCAGTCCGTTTTATTGTCCATTTACGGTATACCACCGGTGTTTCACCTAAGCCGAGGTCTACTAAGTGGTACCTATAACTAGTTAGGATTCGGGTTAAAAAAAACCCCAAAAAACAACAAAAAAGAACTATGAACAAAAACGTTGTGCATTCCCATGTTCATTGGGTCATATTTAATAATTTTATTTTTTAATACGCCGCAAGACTAGAATTGTACTAAAAATATATCCCCGATATATAGCAAATGCTGGACAAAGTTCATAGCACGTGTTTAATAATGACCGATTAAATATCAATTAAACGTCTAAATGACAATATAGTCCCGATTCATCTTTTTAAACACGGGGAGAAATAGATATATCATTGTATCTGACCCTACTAAGACAGGAATACTTTAGGACAAGTATCAGAACAATAAGACATGGGCTATGTAAAATATCTTTATCATGTTTTACAAAGTTTCATATCGCTTTTAACAAACATAAATAACTGATGATGATAAATTCATTTATAGGTAATATATAGAATCTCTCTCACAGCCCGTTGACTCGGATATAATTGCACTAAAGGATTCGGGAACAATGCAACAATAGCCTACAAAATGTTTTCTCCGTGTCAGCTGAACAGAAATTTTAAACAGATGATGACAATTTACTTGATGTTGAAAGATAACAATCTCATTCTGAATAATGTTGATCGATCGGTTTAATATTAACAGGAAAGAGAAATAAGACCCCCAAATGTGTGTGTATGTGTGTGTGTGTGAGAGAGAGAGAGAGAGAGAGAGAGAGAGAGGGGGGGAGAGTGGTACTCGCGAATATTACGCGAGGTTTTGTGTGTGAAATAGATATATTTAACGTCTTCTTTTTCTATTAATGATTAACGCCCGCTTCACCGATGGTGATATCGCAGACAAGTTTTTTATATCATGCTTAGCGCACAATGCAGGGTTCTTTCCTGTGGGAAGAAACCGGAGTAACCCACATACGCTCACACCAGCGATCGAAACTACGACCGCAAGCCAGCGATTGAATGGATGACATTCCTCAAGATCTAAAAATCATGGGTTAGGTAATTTGAAACCTCCCATCTCCCGCATCCAGATTTTATCAAATGTAGATTTTATTTTAAGGTACAATGTTACTAACGATATGTTAATTATATGTGTTGACAGGCCACGTGCTGATTGATGAATGACTGACAGGTAACTGATGAATGATTAACAATTAAAGCTGTTCACGAAGAATTAAAGCTGCTAACCTGGAGGTCCAGTCTTCGGTCCCGGTTTTGGCCGAGGAATTTCATCGGGATTCTACAGAATGGTTCCCCTTGTCAGTGTGCAGGACGGATGGGAATGCAAAACCGAGTTCTCATGTACACTTTGGCGTGCACGTAAAAGAACCTTTGACTTTTGGACATCGTGAAAAGAGTAGGCCGTAGTGCCGCTGCCTTTGCAAACTTTCCTTCATAGCACTTCTCCCACTTCTCTTTATTAAGGTCTGTATATGGCGCACTTAGTCTACCCCAAATCAACATACCAATAAAAATCCGTGAAACTGTCTTGCCATTCAGGAACAACCCGTTCCTTAAAATCAACGGAGGAAATTAAAGAAGTTCAGCTTCCCACTTTTTCTTTTCCAAGTCTAACCTGGATAAGGAAGACGAGCATCAATGTGCTACATGTATGATGGGACTTTTGTCGCCCGGACTGCATTTGAATTCCAACTGCCAAAGGTTCTTTTAAGTGCTCACTAAGGTGTACAAGGGGCCTGGTGTTTGTTTGTCCATCCGGACGACTAGACATTCTTCCTTGATAGCCCCTATCACCGCCATCCTGTCCTGCACCACTGAAGGGCCATTTCTTAAAACCATGTTGTTGGGTGACAATCTGATTAAAACACAGATCGGTATTTCGTTTCGTTTTTTTATACTTTCGATGGCCTCCACTACATAAAGATCTGACCGGTTGTAGTGCAAAGGCGCATCAGCGGTCATACGAGCAGTTTTTGACCCTATGTCGCCAGGCACTTGATTAACAATCAGCGTTAATGTTTCTACTGGGATACTCACAGTTCGTGCACTTTACGCCAAGAACTCGCCGTAACATGCCGTTTCAGTGGCTAATCCCCAACATCAACCAGAACGCGGGTTATAAAAGAACTGTTCCAGATCCTTAAAGACAAGTAGAACGGTATTATGAAATATAAAAAAACAAACGAAATAGGATCTGTGTTTTAATCAGATTGTTGGAGTGACTGATCAAATAGACGGAACGAAAAAAAAAACCACCCTAAAACACCCAAGTTTTTATTAAATTATTGTTTCCTGAGTGTTGATCTGTCATTGTTGATGTGTTGTTCATTTGAATTGTTTATTAAATATGTGAACATCCTAACAAGTTACAATCTTCAACTGTTCTGTTGATTGTCAGGTATTTCAACCTGTAATATATCACCTGTAATTAATCACCAGGTAAATGGATGAGGACAGGAACAAGCGGCAGAGAACTCTAACATAAAGTATATCATGTTACATACATGTACTAGTATCAGAGATTTATCAATCCAATCTGTCAGATATTCTATATCAGTTCTTGTGTTGCAAATTATCTCTTGAAATGGTCATGTTCTGTGGTTAAAAGGACTTGAAAATGGCTCAACGGCGACCAGCTCTGGGCGCCATTTTGTTCGGGGATTCCACTGCACAGGAAGAAAACACGTGTTTCGGTCGGTACAGAGTACTGATGCAGGACACGTGTCATAACATTTTTGGGTTGATTTGTTTGATGTGTATTATGTTCCTACTACTTGGATTGATGTGCAGAGGGAGGAGGGGGCGGGCGAGCTAAAGCCCCCCCCCCCCACACACACACACCCACACACTCGGGAGGCACAATCTCTGGTCCAAAGTTCACAAAGCATTCTCAGGTTAAAGTTTAAAATTTACTCAAAATTGTTCTCCTTATTTTAACTACAATATAGCCCCTTATAAAACCTTTGTTGTTTTGATGTATCAAATAAATCAATAAGAAACTATATGTGCAAAGTTTTGTGTTTCTGGATCAAAGATATTTCTCTTAAACAGTGATTGAAAGCGGAGTAAATTCTTAACTGAAGTCTGAGAATGCTTTGTGAACTTGGGGCCAGGCTACTACTCAGATTTTAGATAATCAGAGATGAGCTGTTATTTGACATATCAAATAATTATTTCTAAATTTGGAAGTTTCTTTTCAATATCTAATTTAATAAAAAAAACTAAATACACCTATTTCTTAAATTGTACTGGATTCATGCCAATTGATATTAAAGACTTTTCTATTGGAAATACTAGTGTATGTTCGGGTTCTTTTTTGTAGCTGTAATTGGTTTTTAGAATGCCACACAAAAACATAAAAAAAGTGTTTAAGACCAATTCAGTGTAACCCACAGAAGACTCTTCTTCTCAGACAAATTGGCCAATTTTAACCCTTATCTTTTCTAGTATATAAAGATAGCATTTGATTGACAGTAATTACAGAGTGAGAGGGTTAACACCAACAGTGTCTTATTGTGAGAGGGGAGGCTGCGACCACAAGAGAATAACGATTTTATTGTGTACTGGATGATGGAGTGTTTACACACAGTCATTCAGACTGAAATAGTCTATAATTACAATCCTTTCAATGCACTTTTAAAAGTGGGGTTTTCGAACAGACTTTAATTTGAAATGTTGCTTTATAGAACGAAAAGCCAAGGTCCCGATTACATATTGGCATGCACGTAAAACAACCCATGACAGTTGAAATAAGAGTTGGCCGTAGCGCCAAAATCAAGGTCCCGATTACACCTTGGCATGCACGTAAAATAACCCTCGGCAGTTGAAATTAGAGTAGGCCGTAGCGTCGCTGTCCGGGCAAAATGTCTCTCATAGCACACTGTATGGCGTATGCCTGTCTTCATTAGCCTAGTCGGAGCAGAATAGTAGGACGATAATTACGTGCTGCCAATGATTTTTACAGGGTCTCGGGTTTTCGTTCTATCCGAAAAACTTGGCGCTTTTCTCTGTCAGGTACCACTGTCATGGAAAACAACTCTGGGACCCCCTAGTTAGTGAACCAGCGTCCTACTCACTGTGACTCCCTATAGTAAGTAATACTCGGCCTGAAACCGAAAATAAGTAAACCTTGTTATTATAAGTAAACATACGTATTTATATCCCAGTAAATCGCAATTGCCAAGAGGGGGTTGGATGGCCTAATGGTTAGCGCGTAGTATCATAAGGTCTATCTTTGAGTCAGCTGGCGTGGTTTCGATTCCCTGGTTGAACGTAGCAAGGGGGGGTAGGGTCGTCTGTTCAACCTCCTCGCTTTTCTTCGAGTCCTCCGATTTCCCCCCACTGCTAAAGACCCCTACGCGCATGCGAATTATTGAAGTAAAATTATATGTTAGTCCCGAAATGACCTAGTGTGTGTCGAGATGACGTTAAACCCCATTTCTCTCTCTCCAATTGTCAACTAATCACAATTTGTGTGATCAACATGTAAAAAAAACACCTTCACAACGAACCTCCTTACCTATCAACTTTACCTGTTCCGCTCTATATAAACCCTTTTAATATCTATATATACCTACCTGTGAGTACGTATATATAAACCCTTTAGATATATATGTGTGTATATACACACCTACCCGTGAGTACGTATATAAACTCCTTTTACACTTTTATAAAGACCCATAATAGTAGTTTACGATAGTGGTTTTCACGGGTTCACGGTTATGTGCTATTGTACTGAGTAAGTGAATGTACATGTATAAATCGAATTCTTGGAAAACACGACGTTTCGGCCACACTTTATTTTAAAACCCTAACCATTTAACTCCAATGAACCCTTGTTGCGGGAACATCTGTCTACAGAATACTTGATGGTATAATGCCACTGCCATTTGGCAACCCTTTCTTGTGCAGTATAATAGTAATAGAACTGTCACGATGAAGGACTTTGTCATTTCTCCCCCAGCCCCCAAACCCGAAACTTATGAAAGTTTGAAGTGGATTTCCTTGCTTCTGAGGGCATGTCTGACGGAAAATCTACAATATTAAATGTAAAGGTTCTCTCCTAGGCTCTCTTGTGTGTCTCGCTTGTATAGGCTCAATATGAGCAGGGGGCGGGCGGGCGGGGGGGGGGGGGAGGGGTAACGATTAGCAGCTTTAGTAGAACTAGACTAACTTGAACCAAGCAAGGAAATCAACAATATCCTATCTCTTGAAGGAGTTTAACATGTAATTTGTTGACAAAGCTGAATTCAATAGGTCTATTGCATAATATCCCATTATGTCAGTGTAAAACATTTAGTGCATGGCATCCCACACTAAGCAATTATGCAATTTGCAGTATAATTAGATGTATATTATTCAATGATGTTGAACTTATTTGACCAGCTAGCTCTTGACTCATGTGGTAATTTCTCAAATTATAACCGTGGGAATTTAATAGAGAATAAAACATTACACTGGTTATAAAAGTACAGGATTGCTTCATTTGTTTGTTTGTTTGTCAGTAGTGCATTAAATTAAATAGTTCTTGCTCTAAAATTTCGTTTTGTGTTTTTGTATTTTGTATGTGTTGTTTTATGTATGTGTTCTTAATGTATTTTAATGTATGTGATCATTTTATATATGAGGAAATAAACCTCATTTCTATGTCTCCATCAATAGTTAGCAAATGCTGTATATTACGAGAGAGAGAGAGAGAGAGAGATTTATTTAACGTCTTCTATTAATGTTTAACGTCGGCTTCCGAGTGGTGGTGGTGGTGGTAGTTGGTTGTATTGTACCAATGAGGGATTATTAATTGGCTGGGAAAAAACATCTGTACACTACAAACCTAATGGCATATCCTACCGTGTGTAAAACACCCGCCATTTTGACAGGGAACAAAAACTCAGCGAGGTCAACATAGCCGTTAATTCCAATAGTTAATAAAATATAAAGTATTTATTTGTTTAAAATTCAAACAGATAATTTGACGAATCAGCTAAACTGACGACCTTGTAATGACAATGGCGACATTAGATATTTGTACCAGTGTGTTATTATAACATAGATTAATATTATCATAATTATATACACTTGTATGCTCATTAAAAAACGATAGATATCTTGTCAGTGGTCTAGAACAGGAGACATGCTGGGAAAAGGCATATAATCGTCCGGATGGACTGATAATCGATAAAACGAGGTTCATGGCGTGTACTCTTTGGCGTACACGTACATCTACAGATTGATTTCGATGGAATTAAATGAAATGAAATGGGGTTTAACGTCCTACTGTTCTGCTCCGGCTGGGCTAATGAAGACGGACATACGTCATGCAGTATGCTATGAGGGGAATTTTGCCCGTACAGCGGCACTATGGCCTACTCTTATATCGAATTTCAACTGCAACGGGATCTTTTACGTGCATGCCATCCGAACGACTAGATCAGGATTTCGATGAAGAGATACGGAAATGAAATACCGATGCCCTGTGTACTTATTGGCATACACATAAAATACTCCCTAACAGTTGAAATTTCACGAAGAGTAGGCGAAAAAGCCACAGTACGTCGTTGCAAAATTAACCCGTCTTCATTATCCTAGTGTTAAACTCCATTTCATTTCATTTTCATTATCCTAGTTGGTGCAGAAAAATAGGATGTTAATAGGATGTTCATTTCCCTTACATCACACTGCATGTTGTTTTCATTTGCCCAGTTGGTGCAGAAACGTAGGATGATGAACCCCATTTCATTTCTCGTATAGCACATTTCATGGTCTAAATATTAAGGCCATCTGCAGATTTTGTCATGGTCGCGAAATTATAATATAGTTAAGCCACGTGATTGATGACGCGATTGTAGGTTAGGGTTAGGATAAGCGCTAGGTCTAGGGTTAATGCTCACCCTGTTTACACCTCGTTACCTTGACGAAAGCTGCAGGTGGCCTTAATATTTAGACTTAACCCTGCATGGCGTATGACGCAGTGAAGGTCGTATGCTCGTATGCATTAGCATTATTTCACAAACTGTCAATCTCAAACATTCCCATTGAAACACGAAGCTGTAAGAAGCCTGTATATAATATGTACTCTATATCTTCTCGTCTCTTGAGTTTATATAAGTCCGGGTTATGTCAACGATTTGTTGAAATTATAGAACATGACGACTTAATAATTAGTTTCCATATTGTTTTTAAAGGATTTAAATTACACAGACTGTTTTAGGTGCACATTCTTGTAATATTTTAACACAGGCAGTCCAGAAAACAGTTCATATCTATATCTGAGTTTAACTCACACGCTGACGTAGTAAAAGACAATTTCTCCTGGTTATAAAAATACATGTACCCACAGAATCTTAAGTTGTGAACTAATGTAAAACTGCTCTCTTACGATTGCTTTTAGATCTGAGCAAATGTAAAAACTACTTTTATGAGATATTTTAGTTGTAAAAACAGCTTTTCTTACGATGTTTTAGCTGAAGTTGCCTTGAATGGGATCCCACTATTACCCTTTCGAATATATATAATAAATGAAATGAAATGAGGTTTAATGTCCTACTGTTCTGCTCCGACTGGACTAATGAAGACAGTATAATATACTAAATTTGATACATAATTTGTTACAGTAAGTATGAATACTAGTATTTATGTAGAATAATATTATTATTTTATAATTTGTAAAGTTTGACTGACCTGCCTCTAATACATCGTCTTACTCTCTGCTGAACACCTCCCCCACACGACCTGGAACACGGGGAATATTTACCCCATTCTTCCCATCTACCTTTCTCTCTCCCCTGAAAAATACAAATAAGGTTTAACATACATATTTGAGTAGCAAATGTGTGAATGAAGACAGGAATACGCCACTCACTACTTGAATTGAAACTGCCATGGGTTCTTTTACGTAGATCTCGATTTAAAATTGTTAAAACGTTTCTAACGTCATCCCGTCTGTTATTGATTTATTTACTCTATACATAATATACCAAATAACACTTCGCGTTTAGGTAGGTCTTATATGGAGGGGGGTTTGCGGCACTACTACATTGGTACCATATAAAAAAAGTAAAACAAATATAAAGTAACGGAACGGACAACTGTATATATGTATAAATGTTTGGTTTATATTTAAGTCTCAAATGTATTTAAGTCTCAAATATTTTGTATATTTTGTATTTTTATATGTTTTTGTTGTATATAAAAAACTAGATGCTGTTTCTTGTCAGGTCCTCTGTCCTGGTTAACTGACATGGCTAAACCTTTCTCTGTCAACACCGCAATCGAGTGAAACTTAGAAACAATTTCAATGGAGTAACAACGTCCCCAGATACTTCATAAAGTACGTTATTGTTTTTATGCATAAGAAATTGTTGTCTCTGATCCGTGGAAACTCATATCAGTAGCTGTATTGGTATAATTAATTGTCAAAGGACGGCGTTCCACAAGGGTCAATATTGGAACCCTCTTTTTTGGAATTGGTAATACTGCTTTGGTTTACAGCCGTTAAACACAGCGATTGAGTATCACCTTTTCGTATGACGAATAGTATAATTTGTAACATTTTACCACCCACAGTGACAAAAAAAAAAGAGAGAAAAATACAACACTCGTCTTCAATTCATTTTAATAAACATACCTCCCTATTTTCTGCTTGAATGGGAAATCCTCACGACTGACCGATTTGTTCACACACCATTTAAATGATTAAATTAATTTTATTTAAAATGAGATCTTTTAGGTGAAAACGATTACAATGATGTATTACTGTACTGAAAGGGATGGTAGGGACGAAATAGAGTTTCTTTGTGTGGATTAGGGCACCTGCCAAATACAAAGATGAACCGAACTTCCTCAGTTGAACTCTATGGAGATTATAGCATCTTCCAAGTACCTGGATAAACTGAGTTTCCTCAAATGGACGTTCATGCGAATTATGGCATTTTCCAAATATAGGGATAAAATGCAAGTTCTCCACTGAACCTCTGTATTCATGAGCCAGTATTTTTATTTTAATTGTTGATATAAACCGACAATACAAATGGAATGAAATAGGGTTTAACAACCTACTGTTCTTCTTCGACTAGGCTAATGAAGACGGGCATCCGCCTGGACAGTGGCGCTACGGCCCACTCTTATATCGAATTCCAACTGCCAAAGATCTTTTACGTGTACGTTTTTTCGTCCTATCCGAACGACTATATGTTACCCCTTGCCAGGCCCAAGGTCTTCGACCACTGACAAGGGGGAACCACGCCGGAAAATCCCGATGAACTTTCTCGGCCAACGCAGGGATCGAACACGGGACCTCCAGGTTAGTGAGCCAATGTATTACTCACTGAGGCACCGTGGCTCCACCTACAATACAATAACACGTTAACTGTAATACAATGGGGGTTAACACCCAACTTTTCTGCACTAAGGGGAAACCCCAATATACCAATCTCATTAAAGAGAGAAAAGAGAGAGACACACACACACACTAGCTTAGTGTCTTTTCTCAAGCGGAGCTAGTAGACAGGCAGCGTAAGTTTAGTATGGGTCTGGGAAGAAAAATCGTCTAGTTGTTTTGACTGAAGACATGTAGATAAAAGAACCCTTAACCGGTGGAATTCGATGATGAGTCGGAGGAAACGCCGCTATCCGAGCAAAATCCCCCCACCAGATCACAATACATAAGTTTTCAATATCTCGGTTGGTGCAGATGGGTGGTAGGATGTTAAACCCTGTTTCAGTTCATTTGATTTAAAATATGCGACATGTAGTATCACATGACATGTCTCATAAACAACTAATATATTTAATATATCTAATATATTTATCTCTCCTCTCTATAATATACTGTAAATTATACGTCTTACGTTATTACAGGAATGTTGACAATCTATTCCCGTATTAAAGGACAACTTTAGCTGTTACAGTTTATGTTTATGCACGAGAATCGATAGCTCGTTCAAGAGTGACTTTTTACTCGTAGACAATCTATTCCCGAATTAAAGGATGGTTTTTAGCCACCATAGTTTGTATTTGTACACGTGAATCGACAGCACGTTTAAATTAAACACTCAAATCACCACCAGACAGAAAGTTGCTTGGATGATGGCATATCCGATGTGTTAATTTAAGGCACTTCAGTTAATACGATGAGTCTTTAAAGGTGATGGCTTAAATCTACACCGAACATGACAGATAATCGTGTAATGTCATATCCGGGGTGTTAATATGTGAATCTCTGCTTATGCATTGTTAAAACTTATTTAAAACCAGAAACAAATACTGTATGAAAAGCTACAACAGCTACAAGTGTCCTTTAAATGCGCTTCTTTAATATGTAAATAGTTGAAATAGACGACCTGACCAGAATAAACATTATAAATAACCAGACTAGACAACCAGCCGTCTTCAGGGCAATAGGTTCACTGGATAATACTAATTAAATGTCTGGGGATGACAAGGTCAATCCAGGTAAGCTTGAAAGCAACGGCCATCCCCTTTCTTTGAAAAAAGCAACCACACAGACATATAGTACTGTCAAGTATCAAGTGTCCTAACCTTCCTTCATAATTTCTGTGCCTACTAACATTTTTCGACTTCTCTTAATTTCGAGACTACTTATAACTATTCATGAATACACGTGACGCCATCTTCTCCTCGTGCAGTTTTTGATATACGCCAGACCGCGTTTCAGTCTGTTCACAAGACATCTGTTTGCCTCGAACGTTTTAAATTCGGCGTCTGTCTGTAATTTCGAATAATTTCGGTTATTTAAAAAACTTTGGAACTTTCACCACGTTTACTGGAATTCGTATTCACTCCCGAAACTCAGAAAAACGGAAATAATCAAATCTAGGCTGCATATGCTAACAGTAATCTTTTTAAATGTATTACTCAACACGTGGGTTTATTCTGTACAACCCGAGACAAGTGGGTGTAAGCCCGCCTTTAACACAGTGACCTTATCTGACCCCGAACATTACTTAGTAAACAGATGTTAAAGACATTTAACTTTTACCTTTAAAAGTCTCTTTCATTTTGTTTAAATAAAACCTGATAGTCAGAGATATCCCCTTTAGTGACCATATTAACTTTATGTCTGCCTGTCATGTAAAAAAGTAAACGACACTGCTTCTAAGGCCAACATACAAGTCATAAGATTTGCATTGTTTGGAAAGCATTTGCCATTTTGGTAAACATATCTTTGCCGACATTAATTTATTTAAAATCAGTATTTCTCCTGTTAAGATAGGTTTATCATCGTGGTGAATTAAAGACGAAACTCATTTTCCGATGTGTTCCCGACTTTTTGTCGGGATGAGAAAATAGGCCAAAGCTTCTTCGAAACTCCCCACCCCCACCCCCGAGGCAGCTCCGACGCATCGGCGATATCTCACCAAAATATCAGGGGACCTTCGTGGATATTTGAATCCTTGGCGAATGTTCGGCGACCATTCGATGACTTTTCGGTGACACATTCCGTATCCCAGGGTTGCGTCCCCGAATATTCGCCGAATTTCGGCGACGGTTGAAAAGTGTATTCTTCCCACGGCGTTTATTTCTGGATTTTGCATAAGGTACCTTTCTTTTTGAATAGGCGATCATCTAGGCCCCACTGGGAATATTTTGCCTCAGGGATGTACTAAAGATGGAAATTCAGGCGCTTCGGGAGGCGTCGGTAACAGGTTCCCCGGTATCTCGGGGGGGGGGGGCGCATCGGGTGCGTCTCGAGCAATGTGGAACCATCGGGAGGCCTCGGGAGAAGATTTGTTTATTTTCACATCGCCGTGCAAATGTTAATTACATTATGTCAATCCCGAACAATGATGTAAGGAACCCGGTTCTTTACTAACCAGTGATGTTTGTGTACTTTTACAAATTAAACATTATTAACCAATGATATATGTACGTCTTTGTATGCTAGACCTTATTAACCAGTGATATAATTATGTTTTTTCAATTTAGACTTAATAAATCAGTGATATATCTATGCTTTTACAAAATAGACTTCATTAACCAGTGATATATTTTCACAAGACCGACGTTATTAACCAGTGATATTTCCATGTTAGACTATATTCACTATTGTAACATGCTTAAGAGTGAATCTTGCGTTTTGATTGGTCGATTAGACACTGTCTATTGGACAATAACACCCCTCTAAATTAGAAAAATCACTGCGTATTAATATTATTTCTTTGGTTTTTACGTCACTAAAACCGATTTGCAGTGAGACGAATTTTGAAGTTTACACAATAAAATAAGTTCTTTAAAAATTATAAAAAATAGCATGTTACAATGTCGATAAACACCTCCTGTTTCGCATTTAGAGGGGTGTTATTGTCCAATATACATGTCCTGAGATTTTACATTAGAACCCGCGACGCTAACGCGTCTTGGGTCCTAATGATCTCAGGACATGTCTATTGGACAATAACACCCCTCTAAATGCGAAACAGGAGGTGTTTATCTCCTAAGTAATTATATATCTATGTTTTATTTACAAATTGGACACCAGAAGTTCACTTGCTAAGATACATACAAGATATTGTAATCACCTTTAACATGATTCATTGAATAAAACCACAGGAATCGACAGAATCTGATTATATCAAAATACGTAGCTCACATGGGATTAACGACTATTATCTTCAAATCATTTGTTAAAATATCCTCGCTGGTTTTTATGTTTAGATTGTGAAACATGGTATCCGGGGCTATAATAGCATATACCCCTTTTCAATATGATCCTAATCTGTCCCCGTATTCACGGTTGGTCTTTTAAATTAATTTATTCATGTCGGTTTTATTTAAGGTTATCAAATGGACAGGATTGTCCAGAATGATAAACCTTTTGTCCTGGTAATTCGTGTGGCCTCGGGGGATGAGGACCTCTTAACGTATTTCACCTCATTGGTTTATTATTTGGTGTAATTAACGCCAGGATAGCTTTAAGTATAGAATTGGCGGGATGTGTTTGTATGCTCTATTAATTAACCATTTCATGGCCTCGTTCATATCCATGTATTATATTGTAAATTGTCACTTAAACATACATTATGCAAGAACTAAATCTGCCTATTGCAGGCACTTCTTTAGGCCTGAAATGTTATCTAAATTATTAATTAGACATTAATTAACTTATCCAGACCATAATCAACTCTCGATGTTTATTGGATTAGGTTCCGATTTCCTGTTCGACTTCCATTTATAATTTAATCATGAAGTGGATAATCGAGACTATGTTTTTTATCGTACCGACTTTAGTAATGATGATCGGGGCTAGGCCGAAAATTCAATCACTAAAATCTCGGTTAACATTATCTAGTTTTTAACTATTATAGTGAGAACTGCCAGCTCTTTATCTAATCTCCCATAATGTATCTTTAATAAAGGGTCTTAATATAAAGACGATCTCTATCTAAGTAAGGAGTCTGTATACTATAAGGGGTTTTGAACTAAATACAATCCGTCAGGGATCTAATACGTTCACAGTTCGTTACTTGACCAGTTCTTGTATTTAGTTCTTCGCAAAAAGCCCAAACCTCCTCCAATTCAAGTACGATCGACATGTAACTTGGCATGCTTGTATCTTGGACAATTGCGCATCGATTGACGGACTTTTGATATGTCGTCACAATTCCAAGATGGCGGCCATGACGTCCTAATCGGTTTTTGGATAGGACTATCGGTCAGAGATCGCCCTTCTGTTAAGGCCCTTTATTAAGTGGTGAAGATGTACAATAATATATATTTAACATTAGGAGGCATTACCACTTTGCAGGTCTTCGCCAGTTCGTAAAAAATGTAATTTTCGATTTGGCGTGATTTAAAACTTAGACAAATTTGCCTTGTATACGGAAAACAAAATATATTCATCTTGATAACGTTGAGAGAATATTAATCGAAACGCCGCCCAAATATGTTAGGCCTAGTAGCCTTTTCCATAAGCAAGTTTATTACTTTATCTAAATGACTCTATATGTAAATTAATTTAATGTTTACCTGTACTTGTGTTTCTATGGTAACTAAAATAAAACAACCCACAAACCACAGGTATCCCATCTCTCCCCTCATTATAATACAACGGCACTCCTACTTTACGTCACACACAACGTCATAACATCACCATTACCTTATTCACATATAACCTGGAATAACAAAACAATAACTATATTATGCTTTAGAAAACACTAAAACAGGGACCGAACAGGGTCATTTTTGAGCATTTCCAAAGCATTAACGGAGGCGAAATTGTGTTTAGGTCCTGTGCGACCCATTTGGGCCTTTTAGTTTGCAAGGGTTATTTCTCAGCCGCCCATGACCAGAATCAGTCGTTTACGAAGCTCGCTGGATACCACGGGGTTGTTGCAGACGGAATCCACCTTTGCTTGAAATGTGAAACCAGAAAAACTCTCTAGCTGACGAGTCGCTTCTGGCTTGCGGTTGTGGTTTCGATCCCCGGTGTGGCTTGGAGATAGGGGCGCCTTCTCAACCCCGTGGGTTTACTCTGGGTACTCCGCCCCCCCCCCCCACACACATTGCAGTAGAGCACGTTTGGTCTGTTTCATTGCAAATAAGGACAATAAAAGGACACCACATTATTTTCGACGAAAACGCCGTAATTCCTTTCCTGTATTTGTTCTGCTCGGTACAACGAATACGTGTTAGTTTATAACGTATGGCTATGTGCGTATGTTTTTATGATTTCCAATACTATGGATTGTTTTGATTTATTAATGTTATCTATTTAATGTAAATCTATTTACTCAATTATACAAAGGCACACTTATATCATTTATTTTAGTTTCTTGTTTCTGAATTATAAGTAGCTATATTGTTAGTTTGAGAGAGAGAGAGAGAGGGATAGGGAGAGAGAGATGGGGTTTAACGTCCATTCGACACAAATTACGTCATTTCGGGACTAACATATGGTTTAATTTTATTTCCATAATTTGCTTGCGCGTAGGGGTCTTTAGCAGTGGGGGGAACCGGAGTACCCGGACAAAACCCACGAGGTTGGACAGGCGATCCTACTCCTTGTCATGTACAACCGGAAAATCGAAACCACGCCAGTTGACTCAATGACAGACCTTATGATACAGCGCGCACATGCTAACCATTCGGTCATACCCCCCCCCCCCCCCCACACACACACACATTGTTAGTTTGAACATTCAACAATTGTAATATGCATAACTACGACGAAAACGTGGAAAACCAAGCTGAAATAAACTAATAAATGTCTACAAAAAACGAAACCTAATCTTTTAAAAAGACATGCACTATAACTAACAATAAATTAAATAAAATTCTAGATATTTTAAACTAGTTCACCCACCCGATGTATCAGAGAAATAATAAATACATAAACCTAATCTTTTAAAAAGACATGCACTATAACTAACAATAAATTAAATAAAATTCGTGATATTTTAAACTAGTTCATCCACCCGATGTATCAGGGAAATAATAAATACATAAATCATTAGAGAATTAGAGATAATTTACACGAGATCATCCCAAGTGGTGTTCACTAGCTCGTGACAAATATTCATGTTTTTCAGCACAGACCTCCCCTTCAATATAGGACAATATGTTACTGATATGGTACACTACCTCCCCGCCTATACAGGACCTCCCCGTCTATACAGGACAATATGTTGCTGGTGTGGTACCTGATAATCATATACACTAAGATATATATAGATATATCATTCTGCTAAAGGGACAATTTATTATTCTTTTAAAGAGACACGCCATCAGAGAGAAATGAAAATGAAATGGGGTTTAATGTCCTACTGTTCTGCTCCGACTGGGCTAATGAATGAAAATTTTTTTATGGACAGCGGTGCTACGGCCTACTCTTGTATCGAATTCCAACGGCCAAGCGATCTTTTACGTGCACTCCAATGGGTACAAGGGGCCTCGCTTTTTCGTACAATTCGAAGGACTAGACAGCTGACCTTGCCAGGCCCTCCGTCCTGCACCACTGACAAGGGGAAACCACGTCAGAAAATTCTGATGAATTTTCTCGGCCAACAGTGAGGGGAGAGAGAGAAAGGGGAAAGTGGGGTTTAATGTCTACTCGACCTGGTGATTTCGGGACAAACATATGGTTCAATTTTATTTCAATAATCCCCCTGTGGGAGGAAACCGGGGGACCCTTAGAAAACCCACGAGGCTGGACGGGCGACCCTTCTCCTGGTCAGGTACAAGCGGAGAATCGAAACTACGCCATTTGACCCAATGACAGACGCGATAACCATTCGGCCACTCAACTCTCATACCATCAACAAGACAATAAATATTACTGTGGTGAAATGAACTGAAATGGGGTGTAACGTCTTACTGGGGGAACTTGTACCCAGACAGCGGCGCTACGAATCCCAACTGACAAGAGTTCTTTAACGTGCAGGTCAATGTGTACACGGGACCTCGGTTTTTCATCCCATTTGAACGACTACACGTTGTTGTACAACCGGGGAATCGTACAACCGGGGAATCGAAACCACGCCAGCTGACTCAATGACAGACCTTATGGTACTGCGCGCACGTGCAAACCATTCGGCCATCCCACCCCCAAAATATATGTTGAAGTTTGATGTGAGATTTATTCGGTGTTATGTCTATTTAATGTGTTCAGGTAGAGTGATAATTCTACCTGATACGGGACACAAGCTTTATTATCTAATATAATATAATTATGTTGAAGTTTGATGTGAGCTTTAGTCGGTGTTATGTCTTTTTAACGTGTATATAAAGATGTGTATTGTGATTATGTTCAGGTAGTGTGATAATTCTACCTGATTGTTCGCACAGGTAGGTAATTCAGGTGTAAATCTATTTAACTTTATTTCACACGTGACTGATTCTCTACATGTACTTGTATATAATATATCATAAACTAGAGTTTATATACAATGACAAGGACGTCTATATAGATAAGATTAAAATAGACATGGGTTTATCTAAAATCCTTTCCACAACGTCACTCTAATCAGCTGTAAACACTTTTCCAACAAATCTTGTATTTGGATTTTAATTACTCAACTTGGTCCCCGGTTTCACCATTATCTTGTTACTAAAGACCTCTATTTTCATGCGAATTATTATTATTTATTCATTTTTTTTTGCGGGGGAGGGGGCAGAGAGGGGGTAACGTATGCACTTTAAATCATAAGGTTTGTCATAGAACGTTTTAGATCCCAAGCTTTTACGTAAATCGGGCTTAACCCAGTTTCTTCTCGACCCAGGTCGATATCATAATTCGGGCACAGCTTGTTATTTGCGGCAGTCTCACTAAAATACTGCTCTATATTTCGTTTCGTATTTTAATACTTTCGATGGCCTACACTACATGAAGATCTGACCAGTTGTAGTGGAAGATCGTGTCAGGTGTCATACGAGCGGCTTTTGACCTTATGACGTCAGATATTGATTAATCAATCAGTGTTGACGTTTCTAGTGGTTTACCCAAAGTACAGTGCACCTCATGCCAAAAACTCGCCGTAACAGACCGTTTCATTGGCTAATCCCTCACATCACCCAGAATGCGGGTTATATAACAACTCTTTCAGATCCAAGTGTAGTAGTGAACTATATAAAATAAAATAAAAAAACCCAAACGAAATAAGATCTGTGTTTTAATCAGATCGTATCGGAGAATGTGTTTAGTTCTTTTTCTCGATTGTATGTGACAAGGAGTAGGGTCGCCTGTCCAACCTTCTGATTTTTCTCCGGGTCTTCCGTTTTTCTCCCCACTACTATACGCTCAAGCGTAAATGTTTCAATTTAAAACAATGTTAGCTGTTAATTAGAAGTGACATTAAGTGTTCAGGAAAGAGGAAGAATTACACTGATAATAATGTCTGCTTTTAGTACATTAACAACCAAATAGGTTTCTGATTACCTGGAGCTACAGAAGGTTAAACGAATTACACAGAACAGATCCCAACCACCCCGTCTATTTCCGCTAATGAAATGGTGTTTAACAGACTAATGTTCTGCATCGACTGGACTAATGAAGACGTGCTTAAGCCATACGCTGTGTCATGAGGGAAAGTGCGCCAAAATGCGTCACTACTGCCTACTTTTATATCGAATTCCTGCACCGCTGACAACGGGAAACCACGCCGGAAAATCCCGAGTAACTTTCTCTTCTCGGTCAATACCGGGAATGAACCCGCGAGCACCCGGTTAGTGAGCCATCGCCATACTCACTGAGCCACCGCGGCTCCCAAAAATACCTTATTAACGAATGACCCAACAAAGGGGGTCCACGTCGAAAAAATCCCGAAGAACAGTCCCGGCCAACACCGGGAGCGAAACCGAGCCAGCGTCCATTTCCATTTGCGTAGATTTGTGCAGTCGAGAAAGAACAACAGACAGACAAATTACGAAGCAGTTTGTTTCAATGACATACAATAGATTCATTTCTGTGGGGTTTCTTTTAACCCTGAAACATGAGTACCCAGGAAAACCCTTCGAATATTTCTTCAATTGTTACCAGTAAGATACCATTAAGCAAAGGTACATAATACATTTTACGATACTGACAGATCAGGTACCACGCAGTACGACGACCCGAACTCATCTCACATACTAAACTTACGCTGTATGTCTACAATTAACTCTGCTTGCGAACAGACATTAAAATGGCAGATATCTTAAGTCCTAAATCGACGATTTTAGTCGAAAACACAAAGTATATTTAAGAATTATGAGATGAATATATTCTGCTTTCATTCATTTTTGTGTACAACAGATGTGAACCGGACCGCATTACAAAACAGTATACTTATTAAACTATAAAAATACTTATGGAAAACAGCTACTCATTTATTTAGGCGACGTTTCGATGTGTATTCTCTCAACGCTTGAAAACGCCGAGAGAATATTCTTCGAAACATTGCCTAAATAAATCAGTAGCTGTTTTCCATAAGTATGTTTATAGTTTATTTATCTGCCCAGTTACTAAATGCCACTTAAAGAATTAGGATACTTATTGTTGGATATGGCCGCCATTTAGGACAGAGATCTACTTTCGAAGTAGAGTATAGATAGGTCTCTGTGTGCAGAATGTTCATCTGGCTGACCAGCTACCGCACAGGGGCCTGTTTCACGAAATTTTAAATAAGATAAAATCCAA